ACGTCACTTGTCCACCGGACAAGTCAATTGAAAGATCTACTTGTCCGATAATGTAAATAACACGTCCCGGACGGTGGGACGTGTGCTTTTTCGCACACTGAAATGGCTTCTGAACTATACTCTAAAACTCAAAAATATTAATAAATGTGGTTCTTAGGAAGCTTTCAAACCATTAACAAAAAAGGGATGACTTTTAACAGTCCTTAATTACATGCATTACATTTTATTATTATTGTGAAGATTGATTCCAAGAGGGTCTCAGGCCCCATGATCTTGAATATATATGAATATGTACAATTGTCAAACAGAAATGTAACAGATGGAACTAGATGATGCAAGAGCAAATGTGAAAGTAAAAGCAAACAAATTAAGAATGAAACAAACATGAACCTCTCAAACTGTCCCAAAAAGGCAGACCGATTTTAAGTAAACATTTCGATGAACATCTCTCAGTATGAAGTTATAACTGTAAAGAAGAGCAACTCATCAAACGATGTAAATAATATTGCACTTATGACTAATTTAACCGGATGTTGCAACGGCATGGCAGTAACAAGAAATACTCATTAATGATATTAAAATATAATATTACTTATTATAATGCAGAAAGCAGAGCAGTGTGTATAATATATATCACTCAGTATAACAGGCCTACATTACTCTCTTTATTTGTATGCTTTAGTTTAGTAGATGGGGGGGGTATATCCAGTCTCTGATTGTGTTACGTTATTATGAGAGTGCTCTCATACTTGTTTGATTCTGAAATTGTATATATTTATATAAATATATGTCCGCATGTGTAGCCTGTTATTGTCTCATTATACCGCACTGTGAATGAATCAAAAGTAAATATATGAGTCGTCATGAACACATCTGTCCATCAGACAGAGGGCTGCTGTGCCTCCTGTCATCATTAATGGATGTCTCTTTAAAATGACCACTCAGAGGAGAGGAGTTCTCATTTCTCTAACCGCCTGCTGCTTCCCCTCCTCTCTCCTCGGTTCCCCTCCTCGACTCCTCCGCTCGCATCTCCTGTGGGCGGGACTAAGACACGAGGATAGGAGTCGAGGAGGGGAGTCGAGGAGGGGAAATTAGAGAATTGAGAAGCCTTCCATGTATGGATGCACACAAAGGGACAGCTGGAAGAAGAAGTATATGGAAAAATTTGATAACACAAAAAAGGGCTTGGTGTACTTGAATGAAAATGCAGTGTGAGAAAAAGTTTTTAGAGAGTACTTGTCCATGGACAAGTGAGTTTGGCAATTTACTTGTCCGAATACATTTTTCACTTGTAAATTGGGGCCACTGGAATCTTCTTCTTCGCCAACGTATTTTACATTTTCCCACGTTTTTTATGACACCGCTAACGTAAGTGAGCGGTAAGATTTTACTGCATCACACATAGGGTTGGGTATAGTTTGGATTTTAACGAGTCAAATCTGTATTCCTATTTACAAATCACTTCATACTGTTTAATTTCTTACGGTTATTGAATACAATTATATAAAAATAATCTCTGCATTGTTTAGTTAGTTCTAAGTGGTGCAGTTTGAGAATGTACAATTGGCCAAGTCTCCTCTGATGTTACACTGCAACCTGCCTGTGAGACAGAGTCCAACCACACATGTCCAACACATAGGCCTAATAATAATAATAATAATAATACATTATATGTATAGCCTATAGGCCTAGCGCTTTTCTACAACTCAAAGACGCTTGCATACTTACAGTACACATGTCCTGCAATACACATGCTGCAGCTGCCCAGCTGCTCACTGTTTGTAAAAGTAAATAAATAGTATTTTCTATACCCTGCTTCATAAACAATACTGACATCCCTGTGCTCCTCCGAGTCTGGGGGTCGGGGGATGCGAGGACAGCGCGAGGACACAGACAGGGAGGCTGCTTTACTTCATAAAGGAAATGGCGGTCAATATTAACAACGTAGGAGCTAAAACGCTTAATAACCTTCATTACGCGTTAAAGAAAGAACATAAGAAAGTTTGACAAAGATTAGGCTGTTAAACGGGCAGCGGGTCCGCTGTGTGTAGAAAGAGAGAGGGAGAGAGAGAGACGCTGAGCTGCACCATGCAGCGATCAGATGATCCGGAGCAGGGAGAGAGAGCTGCGGTCCGCGGGGCTCGGCCTCCTGTCCTCACAACTCTTATTAATCCCGGTACCGGACAATTGTTATTTCTTCCTACTCGGAACCGAGTTTTGCTTCCCAACCCTGCCACTGTGCTACACTTCCCGCCCCGCCCCGCCCCGCCTCCGTCTTACGGTACAGAAAGCGGCGAGATGCATTTCCTGAATCGACAAGCATAACCGAAACTAACATTTCTAAACGAACAATGGCGTACACGGACAATTTGCGAATGAGTTCTGCCTTTTGTAAACTGAATTTATCAATAATTTGTAAATAAATGAGGGCTAAAAACGTCACTTGTCCACCGGACAAGTCAATTGAAAGATCTACTTGTCCGATAATGTAAATAACACGTCCCGGACGGTGGGACGTGTGCTTTTTCGCACACTGAAATGGCTTCTGAACTATACTCTAAAACTCAAAAATATTAATAAATGTGGTTCTTAGGAAGCTTTCAAACCATTAACAAAAAAGGGATGACTTTTAACAGTCCTTAATTACATGCATTACATTTTATTATTATTGTGAAGATTGATTCCAAGAGGGTCTCAGGCCCCATGATCTTGAATATATATGAATATGTACAATTGTCAAACAGAAATGTAACAGATGGAACTAGATGATGCAAGAGCAAATGTGAAAGTAAAAGCAAACAAATTAAGAATGAAACAAACATGAACCTCTCAAACTGTCCCAAAAAGGCAGACCGATTTTAAGTAAACATTTCGATGAACATCTCTCAGTATGAAGTTATAACTGTAAAGAAGAGCAACTCATCAAACGATGTAAATAATATTGCACTTATGACTAATTTAACCGGATGTTGCAACGGCATGGCAGTAACAAGAAATACTCATTAATGATATTAAAATATAATATTACTTATTATAATGCAGAAAGCAGAGCAGTGTGTATAATATATATCACTCAGTATAACAGGCCTACATTACTCTCTTTATTTGTATGCTTTAGTTTAGTAGATGGGGGGGTATATCCAGTCTCTGATTGTGTTACGTTATTATGAGAGTGCTCTCATACTTGTTTGATTCTGAAATTGTATATATTTATATAAATATATGTCCGCATGTGTAGCCTGTTATTGTCTCATTATACCGCACTGTGAATGAATCAAAAGTAAATATATGAGTCGTCATGAACACATCTGTCCATCAGACAGAGGGCTGCTGTGCCTCCTGTCATCATTAATGGATGTCTCTTTAAAATGACCGCTCAGAGGAGAGGAGTTCTCATTTCTCTAACCGCCTGCTGCTTCCCCTCCTCTCTCCTCGGTTCCCCTCCTCGACTCCTCCGCTCGCATCTCCTGTGGGCAGGACTAAGACACGAGGATAGGAGTCGAGGAGGGGAGTCGAGGAGGAGAAATTAGAGAATTGAGAAGCCTTCCATGTATGGATGCACACAAAGGGACAGCTGGAAGAAGAAGTATATGGAAAAATTAGATAACACAAAAAAGGGCTTGTGTACTTGAATGAAAATGGCTTCTGAACTATACTCTAAAACTCAAAAATATTAATAAATGTGATTCTTAGGAAGCTTTCAAACCATTAACAAAAAAGGGATGACTTTTAACAGTCCTTAATTACATGCATTACATTTTATTATTATTGTGAAGATTGATTCCAAGAGGGTCTCAGGCCCCATGATCTTGAATATATATGAATATGTACAATTGTCAAACAGAAATGTAACAGATGGAACTAGATGATGCAAGAGCAAATGTGAAAGTAAAAGCAAACAAATTAAGAATGAAACAAACATGAACCTCTCAAACTGTCCCAAAAAGGCAGACCGATTTTAAGTAAACATTTCGATGAACATCTCTCAGTATGAAGTTATAACTGTAAAGAAGAGCAACTCATCAAACGATGTAAATAATATTGCACTTATGACTAATTTAACCGGATGTTGCAACGGCATGGCAGTAACAAGAAATACTCATTAATGATATTAAAATATAATATTACTTATTATAATAATTCTAGTTATTCCAGGTCTCAGGATATTTGCCAATTGAACCCATTTTCAAATGTATATAGAAATGAGTGAAATAAAGTAACATTGTCAAACTGAAACACAAACCAGATGATGCAACAGAGCACAACTGAAAGTAAAAAACATACAAATAAATAAACCTTTACAATTTAAAACCAACTAATGTTCACAAAACCTATAACATCATTAATAGTTATTTTTATAAATAAAATGCTGATGAAAAAGGGATAAAAAATAACATCTGGCCTGATGTGAAAACAACCGTTTTGCTTACTATTGTAAACGAAACCAATTGTCTTTATTTTGGCCATATTGTGGTAATATGAGCCTATTGTGCCCGGTTGCACTTTTTAATATTACATAAACCTGGAATACCTTGAAATGCTCAGCTATAACGCATTTCTATTAGTCTAATAACGTCACATATTCTGTTACAGAACACGCCACACCAAACACTATTGAAAATATTGCACCAATTAAACATAAAGTATTTCAGTTGTTTAACATAATACTGCTGTATGGAGTATGTATTTGTGACTAAATGGTGTTGCATTTACATTCCGGCAAGCTGTTGAATCTTATTTATTGACCTAAGGGTCTTAGCCGATACACTCTGCTCCATTAACTATGACTTTAAATCCCCTGGTTTTTAAAGGGGGTTCGGTTTGTCCCTGTCACTGACCGGTTTCCTTCAGCTGAGGCTTTGCACCACAGAGGGCTAAAAAGGCTAATATTAGCTTATTGGCTGTGACAGCTAGTCAAAACACAGTCAATTGTGCTGTCACGGCCCTCTTACATATTTCCAACTAACGTGTCTAAAAGCAGAAATAAACATTTACAGTACCTGGCTCTCCTGAGGTCGACATATCCACAGTGCTGGATGGTTGGATGCTGATGCAACAATAACGTGTCCGGAAGAACAAGAACCCGTGCACTATATGCTAACGGTAGGAACCGGAACCAGTGTGTTAGACCTGGGAGCCGGGGGACGCTAATGGCTGACGGTTCTCCCAGGCGGAAGTTAGTTTTGTTTTCAAGAAGTCGTATGTTTTTCAAACTAACTCCTTAACAGCTGGTATTTTATGAACATGGCGTCTACATGAATAGTTTATATGTTAGTGTAGAGTAAGTAAGAGCTGAAATGTCTCCACTTAAAGAGTACGCGGATAAAGTGACTCGTGTTTATGAGCGGTACATTGAGTATGTGAAGAGAAACCCCTCCGCCGCCGCACAGGTGGAGGGGACGGTGCGGACCCTCTCATACCTGATCGCAGGTTAGTGACACACAGCTTTTACTCAGATGAATCATATATTAAAACATTGTAACACTGTGTGTGGGCTTAACTCCACCTCTAACTTCTGTTAACTTAAACTTGTGTTCCAGACCAGATATTAGTTTCATTATAACTTAAAACCATGACACTAGCTGCTTATGCTGCACATAAAGATTCTGGATTCAATGTTTTCCTCATATAATAAATGACAACATGTGAAACCTTTTGTCTTGCATGCATTTTATTTAGGTTGTCATTGGTCCTTAATAATAAAATATACATATTTGTTCACAAACTTGTGCACATAAAGTCTTGTTTATTCATTAGCTGTGTTCCTCCAGCTTTGTTGTGCTTGTTCTTAGCTCTTGTATCTATTTCTGTGTAAGCTCAAACTTGGCCAATAAACTGTATTTTTTGTCTTACCTTTTTTTTCAGGGCGATTCACAGATTCCCATTTAATATCTGAACTAGGTAAGTAAAAGTCAAGGTTCAATAATAAGCTTCAAGGTCAGTTAGCGTGTAAGATAAGATAGGACTTTTTTTCCTGAGGCATATAACTGTTTAGCAGTTGCATTACAAACAGTATGACCATAACATTTAAACTGGTCAACAGTAGGGGTCAATCTAGTTGCATCTAGATTACATACAATATCAAGTATGAGTTAGTGTAAGGGTAAATGTTAATACTGAAAGTTGATGATTTTGTCCATGATATTGCCCTTAACGCTCCATAAATCAGTTGTAAAGAGTTGACTTCATAATTAAATTATCTGGTGCAATTATACAGAAGCTGCTGTACAGAAATGTCAGAAATATATATATTTATCATAGATATTTATACAAGGCAAATCATAAAATACATGTCTTATACATTTATAGTTTTCCACCAGACAAGCAAGGCAAGTTTATTTTTATAGCAAATTTCAAACACAAAGGCAAATCTCAGGGTTTTATATAAAGCATATAAATGCATAAAAATACAAAAAAGAAATTAATAGAGGGTCTCATGTTATTTGGTGCTTTGACATGAGTGAAACGAAGTGTAATTGTCAAATAGAAACTTAAAGAGCAACTTGAAGGTTTTTTTTTTTTACTACATTTATGCTTAACCTTGCCTGAACATTACAATTAAAAAAAGTTAAAGTTAATGCAGGGTTTGATATGTTTTACGAGACATAAGGGCAGGAATTCAGAGGGGAAAGGAGCCGTTTTGAGCTCTGCTACTAAAAACAAACGTCAAACGCGTCATATTACGTCACATGGGGGAGCAACTTTCTCGGACTCCTTCTCTGCCCAATCCGCGGTAGTAGTTGGTTTGAGCGGTTGTGATTTAGTGAGCTGGTATTTTTTCGGTAATTTTACATTGCATTTCACCATTTTTAATCATGGTGAGCTATTGTGTTTGTGCAGGTTGCACAAACTCCAGCCTGTCAGGACATCGAGTCCACAGTTTCCCTAACAGGAAAAGGACCGGAGCTAGCTTTCGTTCCTGGGTGCGTTGTGCGAGGTGCATCCACCCCCCTGCATCACAACTATCTCCAGAGGCCATTTGCTGGCATTTACCACACAAGCGCCTATCAAACAAAACGTTTATCAGGAAACCGTATTACATCTGTCTCCCCCATTCGCTCCTCTCTCTTTCCCCCATTCGTTCCTCTCTCTCTCCCCCCTTCGTTCCTCTCTCTCTCCCCCCTTCGTTCCTCTCTCTCTCCCCCCCTTCGTTCCTCTCTCTCTCCCCCCCCTTCGTTCCTCTCTCTCTCCCCCATTCGCTCCTCTCTCTCCCCCCCTTCGTTCCTCTCTCTCTCCCCCCTTCGTTCCTCTCTCTCTCCCCCCCTTCGTTCCTCTCTCTCTCCCCCCTTCGTTCCTCTCTCTCTCCCCCCCTTCGTTCCTCTCTCTCTCCCCCCTTCGCTCCTCTCTCTCTCCCCTCCGGTACACAGCACCGTAAGACGTAGTGTGGAGTTGCATTAGGTAACGCGAGATACGGCTGATACTTGCGCATTAGTTTCTGTTATGGATCAGTATCAACAGTCCTGCCAGTAACGTTACTATATTACCAATACTACTTTAGTTATAGCCTGATATATGATAGCTAAGTTTACAATGTTGTGATGTGACCGACGTTAGCTAACATTAACTGTAGCTAACGCTGGTCACTCACCAAGACAGCTGCCCAGTTCTCCACTGGTTCTCCTCACACCACAGCTCCATTTCTCTCCGATGGCCGTTATTCCTTCTAATCCTTGGCTGCTCCTGGTCTCGTGGACGCCTAGCAGGCTCATAGTTATAAGGTTGTGGTCCGTCATATGCATATGAATATACATTGTCAAAACTAGCATTGTGATCCATGTTAATGAATACGTTAGACCGGCCGCTCTCCCTCATGTGACGTCATACGCGGGCGGTCTTTTTTTATGCGGAAGTAAAAATGTCTTACAAAAACGACGCCAGATGTCACTGTAGTGTATATTTCTGTATATTTTTTTAGAAAATCTAGTGTATACATCATTTTCCTACACATTTATTTACTGGGGTCTCTAACCTGCAAGTTGCTCTTTAAGAGATCAAACTAGATGATGCAACTGAGTAAAACTGAAAGTAAAAACAAACATACTAAGAATACGTCTTATACAGTTTAAATGTTTAATACACTCATATCCTACATATGATTGGGCATAATATCCTGTTATCACAACAAGAAAGACATATTTTAAGTATAATCTTAATGGCGTGTCATGTGAACTTTAGAAATTAGTAGATTTTCAAATGATGTAATATTGCACACATCTGACGAAAGCAAGACGTTTTTTTCTTTCAGCAAAGATGGTGCATGCTTTAACAACAACAATAATACAATTGACAGCATTATTATTATTATTTTTTTTGTATATAGACGAGTGAAATATATTGAAAATGTCAAATTGAAACTTACCAGACAAAACTAGATGATGCAAAGGAGCGAAACTGAAAGTAAAAATGAATGATAAGAACTAAACTTACATAGGTTAACATAAACTAATAATAGATTCATAATGAATCAACAGAAAACTGTTTTCATAATCGGTAAAAAAAGAAGTTAATAACCAAGCAAAATACCATCTTAAAGCTTCCTAAATGGTTGCTGTTCATGCATTATTGAATATATGTATTGCCTGATCTCTCCTCATGTCTTTTATTTTTCAGTGTACTCTGCCTCCAACCTGCTGGTGTTGTTCAATGACAGTATTCTGCGCAAAGGGCTGAGATGTTCCCTCCCTGTGGTGAGCACTGCTGGATAGATTTACCTCTCAGATTACATTCACAGAAGAAGAAATGCCTTTAAAGAGACACAGACACTGGTAGCGTTCATACAGGCCAGGGATTTGATACATGCCGGGCTCAGTCTGTACTATACGAAGATAAACAAGAAAGAAAAATGGCTACAGAGCCGATGTACCAAGATAGTGCTGGATCAAAAATAAGTACCAGTTTGACTTCATTCAGAGCAAAATAAAGCTAATGAACAATCACAACAAAACTTGAAAGAACACCAGAAAAACGATTGACTATTCCTGCAGCTGACCAAACACTGTGAGGTAATGATTTATCCAGAGTTCTCTTAACCTGATTATACAACATCAATGTTTGTCTGAATGTTTGCCAAAATCATGTTACCTTGCGGCAGGATCACATTAGAAGAGCTATCAAAGCGGTATTGCCAAATCTCTTCCAGTGGATACATTTCTGCCGCTGCACGGTTCATACCATGATATTATCCAATCCTGCTGAAAAACTTGCACAACATTTACAACTTGTTTCCATTTTGTATAGCTTTTGCATTTCAAACAATCTAACCTATCATATGGAAATCCTCCAGCTCAGAAAATACATAAAGACTGCATCTATAGGTTTAGCTAGTATTGAACAATGTGCAGTTGAATATTCAATCATCTGTAATCTGTTAGTTAATTGGTTTCTGGGGGGTAGTGGCAAAAGGGAGGGTGGTAGTGGATTGGAGGGAGCATTGTAAGAAGTTCATCCTCATGTATAGTTTTACCTTTATTTATGGATTGTCATTTTGATTAATGAATGAGTGTCTGAGGTATCACTCACTTGTCACCTCAGCAGCTCCTCCTCCCATTCTGCTCATTTCCAGGTTCATATCAGTATGTAGTGTCTCTACTGTGACATGTCTCCATGCTTTAATGTTCAAAAAGCTCTTTATTTTTCTCATACTGCCTGTGTTGCAGCACCTCTTTTCACCCTCTGTCTGAAACCAGAGCCCAGTCTGCTCTGATGCTGAGCTGGCTGGCTCTGTTGTGGTCAAACGCTTGGAGATGTCCCGCCCCTTAGCCTATCAAATACAATGTGTTGGAGCGCTAGCCAATAGAAGCGCGAGTGTTACATAGTGATGTCACTATGTTATTGAAGTAAACAAAGGAGTCCAATGGAGGCGTTTCAGGCAGGGGGTCGTAGAGAAACTCCCTCTGGATTTTAGCCTTTGCCGATCATTGACATGCACGAAAACCCATAGAACACACTACAGGATAGGGAACAGCCAAAAAAGCACAAGTGGAAAACTTGTAAAAATAAATAAATAAAAGTATCTGAAGAAAGAAAAACATCAGTGTGACTGCCTTGTTATGGGTTTATAATAAAGCAGCAGGCGGCTTTGAATAAGATGTTATATTTTTCAGAGT